CTTTTTAAATTTTTAGTTAAAATTTGTTTCTTAAAAAAAAGTTTTTTGCATATTAAAGCTTAATGCATTGAGTCGACTACTGTAATAAGAATTAAAAAGTAAACTAAAATTCATACAATTACATTCATTGCATTCAAATACTAAACATGTTTTAGAAGTTATCAGTTTAAGTGTATACTTACGACAGATAGTGTATCATAAATGATATGGAAATGATTAATGAATATAGGTAAATGCAATGTATGCTATAATGATAAGGCTCTGTGAATGGAGCGCGAGTGAAGGAGATTAGCATAAAAGGAAAATTTACTAAAATATTAACAATGCCTGCTCGTTTTATTCTATTATTTAAAAAAATGAAAATTGAAAATCAGAGGAAAAGAAAATATGAAAGAAATGATGCAGCCTTGATTACCAGTGCAATTGCACTGATGTGTTTCCAGGTGTGACTCATTAACATGCTGCAACAATGTAACTTCTATTAAGATTTCAGTTTCTTCTATTAATATTTGAACCACCATTGAATAGTACAATGTAATGTACATTAAATAGTACCATTAATTTGAGTAATCAAAAAATACCTATTACAAGAAAAGTAGCTAGATGCAAAGTTTCTACTATATCCAAAGCATAAAGCTTCTTTTTAGTTAATTGCTTGAAAAATTAGCAGGACATTTAAAATCCCGAAAAGATAATGTGTATACATTTTAACCCCTGTTAATTACTTTACCAGGAAGAGTATTATAAAATTGATTAGAGATTCCAATTAAATAAGTAACAGTGCACAAAAGGTACATATTTTTAACAGCTTTTCCTAATATTTAAAAAAAAAACCTGTTGAGCAGAAAAATAGTACATAAAAAATTAATAGGCCAGGAAATACCAAACATATTGTGCAAGTAAATGCTTTAATTAAAATCTAAATGTAATAATTCAATCCTATTCCTTTAAAATAGTAAACTTTTGCACAATATAGTTTGGTAAAGAAATTAAAAAACGATCAGGTAGCAATTTATGGTATAAAGTGTAGGTGTGATGGAGTGTAACTAACTTGTATGCACGTAGAACCGACCTTTCCGTTTGGCCGGCCGCAAAACATGCAAAGCACTAATCCAATCAGGATTAACACGTGAGCTTAGGGTAAATAAAACCTCCAAACTGAAAGGGTCCATCACTAAAACCTCAGGATAGTACCTGAAATTATAAAATAAATATTCT